AGATAAATTTCAGTAAGTGTGTTCAATACTTTTTCCCTGTGCCATTCCATTCCACATTATTACAAATAACTTCATTTCTGGACATTTATGGTTTGATTTCTTTGTATGTATGGATCACTTGGGTTGTTACCAACATCTGGTGAAAATTTCATGTCATTAGCACCTCAAGTAATATATTTACTGAGAAAAATGGTGACGTGTTCAGTACTTATTTTACCCGCTGTATGTATTGTTTTAAATCAGGCATGTAACTAACTAAAAGCCTCCTGAGTGTGTGAAACCCTGGTCAAGAGTCCCACAACCCAGTCTGCACATAAAATCATCAATTCAATCAGAAATAACCACATTATAAAAATATATTACTGTTCACCTAATGTGTGAAATCAGTAGTAAACAACCCCAATAAATGTCTTCAATATCCTTTCAGGAAGATGGGGATGGTATAATTTGTGCTGATGAGGAAAAACTGACAAGTGTAGTTGCAGGATAACTTGAGCCTGGATCAAAATATCAAATATCTGAACAGAGTAAGAGTCCTCACCACCACGGTGCCCTGAGGCTGGGCGGTGAGCGGCTGCCCTACGGCCACCACCTGCTGATGAGATTCACTGGATGGGCTGATAATCTGCACACTTTGGCCCTGGATAGAGTAGGCTGAAGAAAAACATGCATGCAGACAGAAGTTAAAGCTTTTAATGACACTCAATATTTAAAAAATGTTTTGCAATAAGCCTACAACATGAAAAATTTAAACTATGCAAACATCCACTGGGAGATAAAAACCAATTTACTAACTTTGCTGCAGGAAAACAATATGTAAATAAGTATGAGCTGTTAGTTTAAAAAAAGCCTTTGTCCAAGGAGAGTCCCCTGATGTTTTTAATAGGAAGAAGCAGCGAAATATTTTAAATTAATGCAATGTGAAGAGGGCAAGAGCTACAGAGCGCTAACAGTTTGTGTAACGCTCAACAAACCAAATCAGAGGAGCTTATTAGGTTAACGTTCACACTGCAGGTCTTAATGCTCAATTCAGATTTTTTGCAAAAAAACTTTTTTTGGGGTGAATATTCCAATTTAAATGACTCCTCCCTCTGACTCCAGTGTGAACAGTCCATGACACTGATGCAACCCACATGCACAGGAGATGACGTGACGTCACATTCAAGTGCATCTTACTCCCCCTGTGAAAAGATAACTCCGCCCCAAGGCGAAATTTGAAAAATGCATCAAAGTGGGTAGGGCGGGGGGGGTTAGAGAGCGGAGGTGTGGCCAGGACGAGAGAAAGAGACAGCTAGCATTAGCATAATTGATGCTACATGGAGAGCGACCACAGTATCACA